TAAGCAGAACTACAGTTTGTCACATCATCGCCGGGCTTTCTGGGGCTGAATCGGCACTGGTTGATGACTAAAATTTTAACCTGCTTTGCCTTCTGTATTATTTTGATAAATTTTCTGTATGCTTATAGCTTGTAGCAGATTGACTGCAAATTGCTTGATTGGACTTGGGGAGAATATCTAGCAATTCAAAGACCTTGACATTAACACAGGTATCATAGGGATTAAATAGAAAAGTCTTCCTGATATTGAATAAGCAGCAAAGAAAACCAACATTGATAGGAAATGCATAAAAACATCAAAGAACTGGAATATATATATATATATATACACACACACACACACACACACACACATACTTTCAATAAAACCAAAGTACCTACATATCTTCTTCCCTGACTGCCATTCTTGTGGCTAATCTACTGAACTGACCAGTCTACCAAAAGTAATTGATTTAGTATAGTCATAAAACAGATGATTTAATGTCAAAGGAAATTAAACAAAATTACAGACTGAAGTGAGATGCATCAGAAATACCTAGTTGGAGAACACTGCCAACCAGAAAAAAAAGGAGGGGGTTTTCCACACTGATATCAAGTGAATAAATTACATACATTAAAACACATAGGCCTTGTGCTATGGATTACACACCAAACAAACAATAAAATCTACCTAAAATGTTCTGTAGTGCTTCTGCAAAAGTAGCTATTTGTAACAATCTTTCACTTAAGCATAATTTTAGCCTACACAGTGACTGATGAAATGATATTTATGTAAATTCATTTTTCCTAATGCATTAAAAACAAAAAAGCCTTTCAACACTCTAATTGTTCAACTGGAAAAGGACAGATAAATCAATTAACTGAAATGAAAATACAGTTTAGCAACAATTAAAAACAAATCAGTATATTTGTTGTAATCACATAGTCGCACACTTATCAATGTAATATTGAGTACATTGCTGCTTTAAGCGTAGAGCAACTCTACAGAACTTTAGGTGATAACCGTAAAAAAGTTACAACCATTATTAGTTCTTAAACACTACTCTTGCTCATGATGATTAAAACCATAAAGTGAACTTCAGCTACAAACTATGCATCTAAATATTTGTAGTTTACAATATCAATGTTCTACATGTTTCTCTAACTACTAGCACTTTTTGTGACGAATCACCTTTCAGACGGTGCAAGAAAGGCATTGTGCACGTTCTTTCAAATTAAGTGGGTGAAGCAACCCATTCTTTTAATATTAAGAAACAAGTATAGATGAAACATTGCCTTCCCTACCCCAGTCCACTTATCTACAATATAATGAAACTAATTAATTATTTACAGAGAGTTAAGCAGCATTCCACAATACTGATCACTTAGAAGTTCTCATGTGTACCTGAGAGCTGGAGTTAATTGAGTTCTGAACACATCCTACATTTTAGAGCCTGCTTTGCCTCGTTACGGTTGTTTACTGGACTTAAACAGAAGCAGGTAAGAGCAACAGCACTGTCCACATCTTTATGCCACTGTAAAACTTCCACTCAATTCCATGTCAAGCGGTCAACTCAGAACCTAAGAAACAGAGATGAAGACGTATCAGCTAAAGAATTTTTTTGGTTACATTTCCATCAGAAACAAAGACAATTTGTTCATTTGTACCATTCCATTCAAAAACTGAGATATAAAATTGTAAAATAACTGTTTCTGCACTGCCTAAAAAAATGCCATTTTATCTTTTAAAAAAATATTCACAAGATAAAACAACTTTGACATACTCACCCAAGAAGAAAGGAGGGTTAAAAATAAGAGGATCTAATTGTTTCCCCAAAAAGCCGATGCATGGTAATATTTTAATTTACGATGCGCATTTGACTACTCGCAAAGGACTTCTGCCATATGAAGTTTACTATTAGATTGTGACAAAATACAACATAAAGTTGCTCTAAAAACCTTACAATTTATATAAATTAAAGTCTTAAAAAGAGCTTAATAGGTTCATTCATTGCAGTATTACAGGACGAGGGCACATGCCTCAGCATCCGTGCTGATGGAGATTTTATGCAACTTCAGTTAAGTCTACGTGGTTGAAACCGGAATGAGTCAGCATCTAATTTGATTGTTACTGTATTCGACATTCAAACTACCGTCTCAAAATGACAAATGCAATCAGCTTAGGTCTCTGAAAAAACTGGCAAAGCCACCTTTAAAAAAAAAAAAGCAACTAAAAAAAGCCCAACACTCCCTCCCCCGCAACCACTAACAGGTTGCATATTCCTTAGCCTAGACTTTAAGCATAGGCTTTCCCGACTTGTCTCATGGCACTTTGGATGTGTGTTCCTAACACTTTTGAAAATCGCCTTTGACATTAATGGGACTTAGCAACAACGTGGCAGTATGCACTACTCTTGCTACCCCCAACTTAGGTTTGTCTTTTAGCCAGAACCCGTTCAGCTAAACACTTTCATATGCAACTGTGCATTCTGTTTTGACTTCCTAATGAGATGCTTGGATTGACTGGGGATCTTGCTATTACATAAGGAGTTTGGAATAGGTTTTACTATTTTGTTAGAGAAGAGTCATTTCAAAGACGTCAGATGTTTCGGCAATGATCCCAAAGGTTGTAATTAAAAAGAAGTTGGCAAGCACTTGGGAATTGCTGACTTACGTCTCAGATCTTCCTTATAAATTATTGTACTTAATACCTGGAAAGAATACCTGAATGTGGCACAGAGGTTTTTCTAAGCATGGAATACATCAGAAGTTTAAATTCAGCAGTGTGAAAGGAGTTAAAAATAGGCAATCACAGAGATGAGTATGGAACTGTCTTACTCTTGTAAATTTGAGAAAATAAACAAATCGATTAAAATACACATAAGTACTCCTGTGAGTTCCTCCCCGCCCATGCAGATTCTACTTTCCTGACAACTCATTGCTACTCAGTCAGAAAGGAAAAATGTGAGATTTAAAAGAAATCCAACCATCTACCTCTGGCTTATGAGCCACTCGTTCCACCAATCTGCTAATCTTCATTATTTGTAAATTCAGTGGAATCATCTGCATATCTGTAAAATAATTACACTGTGATATTGCCAGAAACACTGTTTGAAATGCAAGTAGCCTTTTTGCAGCAAGCAGTTTTTTTGAAACATCTTCATAAGGCACAAGCCTAGAATGAATTTCATGCATTTGGTATTACTGTAAGCACCCAAATATTTAATGTAATTATAGATAGTGATTTTTATTTTCAAAAGAAATGAGTTTCATCATGCTTGAAGGAGGAGGTTCCTATCTCAAAAGTATGTGTACATGCAATATAGCAGCAGCCATACACACACTGGTATATTTGATACTAATATTTGAAAATAACTTTGTATTTCTAAAATAGCAATTTAAATAAAAACGATAATCTTAAAGAAAGAAAAAAAAAATCATGCACCAACTTTCCGTGATGGCCATCATGAGCGTCATGCAGTAAGAACGTTCAGAGGTAGTGTTATCAATTTATTCAAATAGTAACATTAGGAACATATTTTCTGATAATACTAAAAGCAAAAAAAAAATATCTTTAAAGTTCAAAATTGTCTAGTTTTAGGTGCTTAGAAATTGATATGGCACCTAAGCCACTGTGTCTGGATTCACTTTTAAAAACCGGGCAACTTGGGTGTACTTGCTCTCCCATTTTGAAAAAACTGAGCTCAAGCATTTTGGAGTAAAGGATAGGGAAAACGTTTTGATTGGAATACTGCTGCATCACTGTAGGGGGAAAAAAACAAAAGAAAACAAAGAAATTAATCATTCTTCATTCTTTAGTCACAGTCTCTTTAACTTATTGTCAATTTCCCTTCTTAGTAAGATTTTCCTGTACCCCTGGTTTTGGCTACATCTGCCCAAACCCTACAGGTAGCGTAGGCTTACAGTTGCGGGTATACATCAAGGCAAGCATTGTCTTGTGAGCAGCATGCCGAGACATACTTAAAGGCTAAGAAATTGTCACCCAAACTGCTCAAAAGATGATACTTTTACCAGGTGAGGCACTCATTTTTTTTCACAGCTTTATTAAAAATATTAACAAATGTATCCTAGTACCACGGTAAACATTTTCAGTAGAAATGTAAAGGCTTACGTGAATTAATGCAGCATTCCTACAATCTATTTGCACAGGGAAAAAGTTACAGCAAATAAGAAAGTGAGTTCATGAAACAAACAACGTTGAGATACCAGCCTCAGATCTAGAGTTACTTACAAAAATACCATTCATCTTTTTATAGTCAAACAAGCACTTTTAATATAAGCGTATTAATAATTAAAATCATATCCAAATATAGTGTTCATGTAAGGAGAAAAATAATGCCTTCACAGAGCTAAAACCTCGAGTCACAGACCAAAATAACTGATCATCTACAGGTTAAAAAAAGAAAGTAGAAAAAAAAAAAAGAGCTTTGAAATGATGTTTGGTGAAACATTCATTACAACATTATTTGAGCACCTTTCTAAAACAGTAGTAGACTCAGGACTTTAAGAAGTACCAGTTATAAATCGAAAGAAAAAAAAAAAAACAAACAGAGAAAAAAGTTCTGGAACATGTGACTGCAAGCATGCTATATTGGCCCTTTGGAAGTATAAACAAGTCCCCTCCTCTCCTCCTCCACTCCCCCCCCCCCAAACAGGGTAAAGATTAAACTACAGGTTTTGTAAAAAACAAACAAACAGATCATTTAGATAGCATCCTGAAGGGTCTCTAAGGCAAATATTATAAAAACGTGATCACTTCTGATCACATTCTGATCACAGAGCCAGTAATTCAAACTGGTTTGCCTATTTTCCTTGTCAAAGCTAAGAGAAATTTGAAGGAGGCTGTTGGGTTAAACTAGATTAAAGATGATCTGTTGTCATAAGTGTGAGTTACTAACAAAAATGTTTTAGATCTAACCTGATAGTGTCCATTTACATAATAAGATATCCAAATAATAGTTTTGCCGGGTCAATTTTTTAAGTTACAGTCTTCTGTCAAATGTTGTCTTCTAGTATTAGCTTATACTGGTTTTGATTTTCTTATTCTTGGTGATGCTCCATCTTCCAATTTTGCTGCTCCATTGACAAAGTTAGCTGTAATTTTAAACAGGGAAAATTACAATAAGCAGAAACACAACCTGACGTCACACAAAAAATCCTGAAATTAGACTAGCACCTCAAGAACACTTACATATTTGCTTCAATATAAATTAACTTGGAGTCAAGCACCTACAATTTTTAAGAACTTCATACAAAGTTGATAAGAACAGCAGTCAGACAAAAGTTGCTTCTAGTCCAGCGCCCCGTCTCCAACAGTGTCTAGTAGAAGAGGTTTCAGGAACAATATAAATGAGGCAAACAGAGTGGTCCAACCAACATAATTCCCCTCAAGCTCCAGAAAAATCAGAGGTTAGGGACTTCGAGGCCTAAATTGCACTTATACAGTTGCTTTAACAATACCTACTGACAGGCTGAACCCTCAGGAACTAAACCTCTTAATATCTTTGCAAATTTCTTTGCAAATTACTTCTGCAAGCTCTCTGGGTTTTATATCCTCGTTTGTTTTAAACATACTACTTGATGATTTCATTGAAAATCCTCTAGCCTTATGCTGTGAGAAACAGCAAACAGTCATTTGGTATTTGCCTGCTCAAATCACTTAGCATTTCAGAACGCTATCGTATCTCCTATCAGTCCTTTCTTTTTCAAGCTAGGCGGTATTTAATCTCTCCCCTTACTGTCATCTTTCTTTATACCTTTCTGGTGTTAGTCTAAGTCTTTTCAGATGGGGTCACCAAAAGGGCATCCAATTTTCAGGATGTAGAAACACACAGGGATTTAAACAATGGTACATTCTAGCCAGTTTTTTGTTTGTTTGCTTTTGACTGCAGCAAAGCATCAACTTGACGTTTGCAGAAAAAATACTGACTTTAGAAAATCTCTCCCTTCAGATGAATGCTAATTTGAAGCACAATGTTGTGTATGTATACATTAATTCCCTTTTCCCTTCTCTCATAATGTGCATTATTTAAGTAGCTTAGAAATCTAGAAACTGCATACTAAATCCGCCAGTTTTTATCTATTCCATGTTTGCAAGATCCTTCTGCCACTCCCTGCTGTCAGGGATTTGAAATAATTCTGCTTCATTTACAGATTTTTTTCACCTCACTGGTTTATTTATGAATATGTCACCAAAAGAAACCTGTTGGGTCCCACTGGTAAGTTCTCTTCAGAGTGTCAATTGACCATTCCCCATCTTTTAATCAATTACTAATCAGCCAAGTATTAATCCACATCCCCTCTTCTCCTATGACATCTTTCTTTAACTGAGATTTTAGTTTAGCTGTTCATCATTTCTTATATCAGCTTTATTAATTTCTCAGGGTTTTTTTTCCCCCCTATGATACAGTGTTATTAGCCATACACCAGTAAAGAATGCGCTATCCTAGATAGTAGGCCCTTTCACACTTATCAGCCTTCTGTGCCATCAGGCCAAAGCACAAACAGAAGTTGGAGCAGGACAGACAAAACAAAGCAGTGTGCATAGAATTTTTGGCACACTTAATTTCTCCTAGCCTTCCTTTTCCCAATTAAATCGGAACTTGATTATTATGTTTTACTACCAGCTACACGAACTCTCCACACCTAACCACCTCAAATATATATTATTTTCTTACACTGTTGGGATCCAATGCAGATCATGACTAACCATTAAGTAGATACATTCACTGCAACTGAGTCTGCATTCTTAAGGGTAGGAGGACAGGGAGAGTTTATTACCTTCAGGAGGTTAGAAAGCGACTTGTAGACAATGCCTGAAACTAAACTACTGGCTTTAGTGGAATCCAAGCTCTCCTTAAAAATATTTCTCCAGGTGTGAGTACTCTTGCAATTAGAAGTAAGATTAATTGATAAACAGTGTGTGAACATCTTCCCACATACTCAATCAGAGAGCTCTAATGCCTCTGCTGCTCCTTGTTTTGCTCAGCCGGAGCAAAACAAAGTCAATAAGTTCGGATTTCACTTCCGCTATTCCAGACCATAATCATCTGGGGAACTTAAGAACTGCGTTAATTTCATACAGCAACCCAGAAAAGCAATGAAGTTATTCACTGGGAAAGGAGAGAAGGACCTACAAGACTGGAGAAGGAAACAAATGCACCTGCAGCTCTATTCAGAGCAGAAAGGCGGCTCTGGAAGGATAAGGAAAAACAGTGTCATTAACACCCTTGTGCTCATCTAGAATCTTCCAGTTGATTTCAGCTAACGCTGACTCAGAGCTAGCAATCTGTGAATGTGAAGAGCTTCAACCCTTCTCAGTAAAACCAAATACATAAAGAATAACTTGAGAGACAGAGACAGCATGTGGTAGAATTCCCAACAGACGGTGTTTTTCAAAGCTCTACCCAAATTTCATGAGACGCTATCCCAAAGCTGTCACACATATTTCTCTCCAGTGTTGCATATATTTACTAACAGGAAAATGAAATTTCTCTTAAATAGGATTTATGAAAATTATATAAAGTTATCTAATTGAGAAAACATTTGAATTTGAAAATTATATAATGTCATTTAATAAAAAGTCTTTCTCCGTTAGTTGTCTTTTGCCAGGTACTGCAATGTTCCTTTTCAGTTGCTGAAATTTTCTTTACAAGGTGTGTCTGCGTGCATATAGAACAAACAAATGAACTAAATTTTAATGGTCTGAATATAATACAAACAATTTATGAGATACAGTAGAAATAAAGTTAAACAACTTTTGGCAGCGTTGTGAAAGACTGGTTTTAAAAAGAAAAACAACCTGGAATCATTAAGCCCAGCTTCATGAAACTTTCCTTGCATTTAGATTAATGCAGAGTTAAATGAATAACACTAGTCCTGAAGATCTTCCAGGATTCTTCAGTGCTAACTTTAAAGACAGTGTGCTGTCCTGATAGCAATATGGAATTAGAGAAAAATATTTTCCAATGTTTGAAGAAACTGTAATTTTATCTATACTCTCTATATGTCAACAGATGGATGCTTTTGCTCTTTTACAAAAAGGAAAGATATACGATGATGCATCTTGTATAAAAAACATTTAGCCTAGAAACAGCTTAAAAACATTAGGCTGCTGACCTCTGTCTGGTTCCTTTTTTGTTGGTTTGCTCTTTATGTTAGTTATTTTTTTCTTAGGAATCTGGTTCTGAATATGCTCTCTCCATTTCTTCAGTTGGAAATTTATAAATTTCCACATCATCCAGGCCTGTGTTAGACAAACAGCAGTCAGGCAGCTAACCCTAATAAAAGATTTGAGAATTAAGAGACAGTTAGATAAAAGTTTCAGCTGTCCATGAACATACTGCAAATCAGTATTTGCTTTTTTTTTTCCCCCAAATGTCTACCAATCAAACAACTAAAATCTTCATATCACCGGGAAACAGATGTATCAGAAGACTTTACTCAAGGTGGGGTGTATACCCACATGAGAAACAAATGGGAATTGCATGCAAATATATTTATAGAAGCAATCATGTTTATCATCAAGTTATGATCTTAGCTTTCAGTGGCTGATAGAAGAGGTCTCTGTTATGCAATTGCCTGCCAACTGAACTACAAATGAGAAATCATACAGATTCAAAAACCCTCCTACCTACTTGATTCCAGACATTTTTAACAACAGTGATATTAAAGTGATAAGCTTAGGCTGAAAAAGGAATCAGATATCAAAATGAACAAGCAAGAACAAAAGATATTTGAAAACATTTTAGGAAGGCCCCAAACAGCAATTATTTTTAAAAAATGATATTATTAATATCTCCAAATGATATTATGCCCATAGTGGACACAGGAAAAGTAAAACAAACAAACAAGCAAGCTTTCACGAGATGATTATCCCAGGTTTTTGGACAATAATCAACAATTCACTGAAAAGAAATTCTCTTTTTGTCTTATGCTTCCCATATAATCTGTTTTACTACTTTTGTGAAAAGATGACAGAAAAGAGAACAAAATTTCCCTTCCCATTAAAAACCCAGAGGAAAACGTCACCTCTAAGACATGAAGAGAGGTAGCCTCTTCAAAGCACATCATCATCTTGCACTGTTATATTAAAAGATACTTTGAAATGCCGCACTATACAAAAGCATGAATGCCTACTAGCCTTGTTATACCTCACAGTGAGTACATTGAAGTTTCCATCTGCTATGGAAAAACCCGGATTCTCTGCTCTTGCCAGACCAAATCCAAATGTGAGGACAGATAAAGTTAGGGTCAAAAGACGTGCCATTACGAAAAGTAAAGCCCAAATGGTAAATCTGGAAACAAAATAATGAAATTAATGTGCTTTCTCCTTTTAGTCCATTTCTTTTCAATATAGTACACAGAGCTTTTCATTAAGCTTCTCTCAGCAATGAACAGGGGAAGGAAGGAGCCAACATTTGCAGAAAAACTCCTGGTCTTCTCCAAACCATTCAGTCCTGCCTCAAAGTGTTCAATATAGAAAATGAGTTTTCACTGAGTGAACAAAAGTAAAAAACTACATGCTATTTTGACGAGAAAGCACAATGAAGCACAAAGGTACATCTCAAGTTGACGTTCATGCTGTGAATCATTTGTAAGTAGCAGTGAGGTTACAGAGCCAGAAAGATGAGCATAAGGGTATAATATGCATATATTAAATAGTTGGCAGATCAAGGCAATATATGCATTTTTAACAAGCAGAAGTTTATAGATTAAGTGGAGAAAGAACAATAGTCAGTTAGCTAGTAAGAACAAGTAACAAATCAGAACCTTTTCACATTATAGTTAACAGAGCAAGATGCCACTCTAAAAACTTCCAGCATCTGGAAGTTTTTGCTCTCGGATGTGGCAAAGAACCCTTAAGTTCAGAGTGCTAGTCAACAGCAATTAATTCTAAAAATTAACATGGTCATATTGGTAATTGCCACTACATTACATAAAGACTTCTATAGACAAGAGACTTGATATCACGTGACTGATGAACGGATTCAAAGAGGCTATACCAACGTGAAAAAAGAGTACCTTTTCAAAATCTCCGTTGAAAAAAAAATCAGCTTGTCCAACTGATTTTAAACTTGAAGAAAACTTGCACTTCAAACTTGTCATGGTATAGTAAGCAAGACTACTTAAAAAAAAAAAAAGCAGCCCTCTTCCATCCCCTCCAAAACAAGATTTTGAGGAAAGCTACAGAGTCTGAATGTAGAACCCATAAGTAGAAACAACATATGCTGGGCAAGGAAAATACCTGGCTTTTGACATTGTATTGTTTCTACAGTTAAAATTACAAGTGCTATATGTTGTATTTAAACTTGAAGAAAACTTGCACTTCAAACTTGTCATGGTATAGTAAGCAAGACTACTTAAAAAAAAAAAAAGCAGCCCTCTTCCATCCCCTCCAAAACAAGATTTTGAGGAAAGCTACAGAGTCTGAATGTAGAACCCATAAGTAGAAACAACATATGCTGGGCAAGGAAAATACCTGGCTTTTGACATTGTATTGTTTCTACAGTTAAAATTACAAGTGCTATATGTTGTAATAGAAATAAAATGCCCCAAATGCTTCTGCATATCATCTTTCAGGAAATCCAATTTCCACTTCCAGTTATTTAAATTGAGGCAATACTGCACACGGGATAACTGCTTTCCAGCCAAAGACGCACACAGTCGCTTACTTGACCATTATATGCTTCATAAGACAGAAAAAGATGTTCTTCTAATCAGTATTTTAGCCTTGATGCATTTGGATGGCATATGGAAAAGCAGATAAGCTCACAGCTCCAAAAAAAACACAGTTAAATATGACACATGAAACATAAGCTTTCTCCCATTTTCCCTATTTGCATCAGTAAATATTGATTTTCTGCAAAGAACGTTCTACTGTACCTACTTTAATTATTAGCTTTAAGGAGTGACATGAACGGATCTCGTGAGAAGATCAGAAAGAGCAGCACCATTAGATTGCCTCAAAGGAGGCTGCCTATATATAAAAGATGACATGAAAGAAAGCAAGATGCACATGAAAATCTCTTCCAGGTAGGCAGTTGCACAGCAAAGGAAGACCAAATAAGAGCCAAGAACACCCAAAGGGGACAATGTTGTTTTATTCATATCAGAACTTCCAAAAGGCTTTGCATTCAGAGGGTGAAATGTACCCAGTCATTCTTAGCATGCACGCCTCACAGTTAAGTATCTCAGTGCATCTCCTTCGTTTCCAAAGGATGCATTACTTTCATACTCCTCCTTTCCAGGATAGCTGAGAATCTTATTCAAGAGAAACATAACTGAAGAGATTTTATCACCTATGAACATTTTAGACATTACCTCCTCTGTTGTACAGTTATTTCCTTTTTACTCTTACTTAAAAAAAAGGAGAGACCTGCAAAAACTTATGGGGAATGCTCCTTTGATTCTTAGGTTAACTTGTTTAAAAACGAGCGTCTCTATATGCAAACATTTATGCAAAGAGGCAACTTATAGAAACCAAAGTAGCCAACGCAAATTCAAATGGGACTTTAACAAAAGCCTAAGCAAAATCTTATTAAGATAACTATGAAGTTGCGTAGTTGCTTCTTCCTCTATATAGTGACAACAACTTGCTTGAATTAAAAGCAAGCAGTATCAGGCACAGAGCAGGTGAGGTTTGCTACCTGAGCACTTCTACATTCACGCAAACACATTTATATGCAAACAGTATCCAAAGTTCTGAATATTAATTAATACATGCAAGATTTACCCTTTTTGCTTGTTTTCATCACTGAAGTAGAAAATACGTGAGGCATGAAAAATGAGTTCCACTAAATAGTGAGGTACCATCAGAATTAGCCCCAAATGCTGCAAACTATAAAATAGAAAAAATAGAATTAATAAAATTGTGAAGTTCATAAACTCATCTGTTCAAAATGAACGTGCAAACACTTACTTTAATATATAGGCACCAGAGATATGAGCAATGTAAAGGCAAATATAACACAGCTGCCTTGGAACATCTTCCTAAAATTAGAGAAATTATAATACACTGTTACAGTCTAGCTATGTCATCCAAAGGAAAAGCATGTAACTCATTACTCTTGATTATTTTTCTCACTACTGTACACATCTCTCGGAAGCACATCTGATTCGACGCCTACAGATAATGCAATTTTCCAATCCAGACTAAATAAGCTAGCAAATACAAGCCATTAACATGTATCAACCAAATATGGATAACTGTATATATAAATATGTAAATAAAGATTTAGTTACTATAAATAAACAAAAATATGAATACAAGTAACCGGAAAGAAATATATATGCCATTAACTGTACTGAGGACTTCACTCCGTACCTTTCGGATCTTTTGGAAGTATAGCTCTGGTAGTGCATGAAGCCAATAGGCTATCTGGCAAATATAGAAGAATTTTACCTGAAAACTAAATAATAATTCAGATGAAGAAAACAAAAAACGATGAGTTTTCAGGCTTTCAATAGTAGATACAAGATTTTAATTTATTATCTTAAAATAATTCATTCTGGCTAATTATATGATTCCTAAATCATAGGTGCTGCACACGTGAAACAACTCAGTGGTGACAGTCTGTTGAATTAGCGTCTATACGCTTCTTGATAGCATGTTCTGAATCACCTGTTGAAATAGTATTAAAAACAAACAAAAAGAAAAACAGGCAGTTCCTTGAGCAGTGGAACTCATTTCTTAAAAATGCATATCCTCCCCCTTCCATGTACCATACTCACTGGAAAAAAAGAAGAAAAAGGGGTGGGGGGGGGATGACAAACAACACAATTTCGTAAGGCATCCTAATAACAATCAAGCTATATATCCCCTCTAATTTGAGCATTCACCCTCCCACACACATATGTTTCTTTAGCGTGAAACATCTCATCTGTCCTATTATATACCCCATCTTGCAAACGCTTTCACTCTAAGTCAGCTGCCACGGCACAACTAAAGACACATGCAAATGTCTGCTGGATTGATGTTTAAAGCATCGCAAAATTGCCTTTGGATAGAATAGCTGACAGTTTTTAAACAGAAGAAACTACTTTCACCTAGCTGTCATTCTCACAATGTACCAATGTCAATACCTTTTTAGTAGTCCCCAAAATCCCAGGCAGTTTAAAATTGAATCATTAGAAGTATCAGGTTTTAAAACACTTACAGCATACGAGAATGGGGATAATCTTTCCACAGTGAGGTTGGGTTCATCATGAATTCTTCCTAAAGAGGAAAAAAAGAAAAAAGGCATTGATTTAAGGACCTTCTTAATATTTGAATCTATTTTATAAATAAATAAATAAAAAGGCAATTAGGGTGACTTACTTACTGCAGTCAAAATACTTGCTCCCCATGTAAATGAAAACAAGTAGAAAAACGCTAGCTGTCCCGATTCATTGAATTTGCTGTGCTTTGTTTTTGACAAATGCAGACGTCTATTAATTTTCTAGAAATGAAAAGCAGATCAACAATTAAATTTCTAATAGAAGAATGCTATTTGGTAGTTAGTGTTCGCTCTTGTATTCTTTACATCTCTAATCTCCCGTTCCTCAATCAAAATACATAGCTCCTACCATTTCAGAGCTCGATCTGCAGAAGCATATATGACAATTGATTTCAATAAAACTCGCTGCCAAAGTAGATGTGGAAAATATTCAGACAATAAAGGCAGACATTTGTATTTTTCCCCCAGAATCACAGTTGTATTGCTAAATTCTTCAAATCTCTTTGCACATTTAAATACATTTGAGTTTCTGTGACTCACATGACCTATTTGTGAAGTCATTGCAAGGCCATTCAATAATGATTCGTCTGCACGATGACTTCGGCAAATTCATTTTACTTTGCAACTGAGTTGGTATAAAACAGCATATGATGAAGTTATTGAGGCTCAGCTGACAAATAAGAACCTATCACAATGCAGTTATTTTCATTTTTTGATCTTCTGAAAATTATTAGGAATCTAAAGCAGCAAGCCTCATTCACAGGCATTCTGAGCAGGACATGAACGTTTAATATCCATTGTTGCACAATAACGGAACTCATGATAATAAGAAAGATTCAGTCCAAGCTCGAAGGTCTATGAGCAAAAGTCCTCATGTAAATAGCCAAAAGACACAAAAAAAGAAATATTGATAAAATTCACCATCTAAGATCTGATGCTAGGTTTTTTTTTTTTAAATCAGTATTAGAAAAGAACGACAGCATTTATTTTGTATTTTTCAAACTACAAGCGTTTACACATGTGTTTAAACACACAAGAGCATAAAAGAGTAAGAACATTTCCAAATGAACAACACTTGAGGAAAACGTTATTTTTTTGGTTTTGTTTTTTAAACAAAATATAAAATAACATTAAAAAAATTGAAGGCATAAAAGATCTTTTGTTAGTTGATTACCACATTAGGTATTTTAGGGATATGAAGTAACACATCTACCTATAGGAAAAAAAAAAAATACTACTGAAAACCGTTAGAGAAAACTTGAGGAACTATCACTATGCAAGTGTCAAAGTCTATTTGCAATTTTGTCTAAGAACAAAAGGATCAATCATAATAGCGCTTCTAAACGCTAAGCTATTTCTTCTATCACGGCTTATATACTTATCGCAAAGAAAAACTGCTAAGCAACTGATAGCTAGTAGTAGTATGTTTATAAAAATAAATTATATCCCAGTAGTAAACTTACATCTAATATGTATTCCTGGATCACAGCATGCAGAATAATAGCTATGAGCATGTAGAAGAAGATAGTGGCAATGTCTTTTGGACCATAGCCATAAAAATGAATGTGTTCGCTCTTGTCATCTGAAAAAGAAAAAGGCTTTTAACATACATTTTACTTTCTTATGAAGAGGTATTCTCTGCAATTGAGAAAGGGCACTAGTGATCTGTGTTTTTTGGAAGCTCTGTTGAATTGCAACAGGATTCTAAACTATCCAGTTGTGACAAATTGGATTTTGTACCTGATTAAATAAGCTGGAATCCTCTCTTTCTTCAGTACAATGCTACACTTACAAACCTGGAGAGAACAGTTGAGAGCTCTACATACTGACCTGCAGCCTCTATCTCTTTCTTTCAACTAGGCCATAGAAAACAAAAACAAAACCAAGACTCTACACTTTGGTAGAGACCAAATGAAATTCCATCTCAAGCAGCATGACTACATGTAGAAAGAAAGAAATTATACAGTGAAGATAGCATCCCCAAAGAGTTCAACCACATGGGTCAATAACAAATAAGTAACTTCCCTCTTTATAAGAGATGTTGCGCAGTTACAAATAATTTTACATTTAGAGAAGTAGTAACATGTTCTCATAAATTAAAAGCAAAATTGTAGAAAAAAAAATAAAGAAACGTTCCCACTGCCACAGCAACACTTCAAAAGTTTGCATTTACTACGTTGAACCAGAGGAGAGCACGCAAATGAAATTCAATTAAAAAAGCAAGTATAAGGAGAAGTAACGCTCAGGAAGCCTTGTTTCATAGGGGTGTGTCAGCTTTGATCCACAAACACCCAACCTCACTTTCCTTTATGCATCTATGAGACTGCAATGGAAAAGAAATAACTTGTATGGTGACTATTCAAAAGCACGCTCATCCTGATTTGCAGGCTAGCACGTCTAAAATTTGCGTTCTTTTGCTTTCTAAGTGACAGCATTAATTTGGATGTTTCTTCTCTATACAGCCATCACTTTTCATAAATGTCAAAGAATTCTGTTGTCTTTAGGACGTTTACCCTTTATCAAGCTTGGTTGATGCTGCCCAAAATAGATCAACAGAAACATAGTCATCATAAAACATGTTTTCTAAAGTAAACTATGGTAGAAAGTGTCAAGCAAGCAATTACTGCTTCCTATAACGTGAATGGTACACTAAGGTCCTCACGCACTGGACTTTTTTTTTTTTTTTTTTTTTAGAATTATACGTAAGATGTCCTGTTCTGATGCTTGAAAGTAACCTGTGACATAACCAATGTACAAGTAATTGCATATCAAATGCTATTTCTGACTGGTACCTAGCACTGTTTTTTCAAAAAGGACGTCCACTAGTTATATTTTCATTATTTTTTGAGGGCCTGAGTTGAGACCTTAAAATTTCTTGTGTGGAACTCATCCGCACCTATAAAACTAAAGGAAGCTATGCCTTGGTGATAGCTATCATATATAAATGCCAAACGTTATGAAGGCTCACATCACAGCATCTTGGTAACTGCTCTGAGAAACGAATTTTACTTTTGTCTCTGCTGTATGAGATTCCTACCTGATGTTGCTCAAATATTAGCTAAACATAAGTCCACTGACTGCGTATGCCTCAAGTTTTCAATATGAGGCATCTCAGGAAAAGTCTGCAGAAACAATGTGTACTCACAACTGTAAGAGAAGTTGATCAATGCATTATTTTGAATGTATTAAACGCAGTGAAAGCGCTACACTGTCTGGAACAGTCACAGCACAGAGGTCTGTTTGGTTTGGAAGCCAAAATTTGTAGAATCCTGATGACTTTTGTTCTAACATACGTGTACCTTAGTTCCTTATCTGTAATGGGTGGCTCATGGCACCTGTTTTTTCAAAACACTGAGAAGATTAATTTCTGGAAATACATAGAAAATTGCTGTGAAGAAATACATTTATGAGCTTTTTCTCAACACAAGGTTCAGATAGTTTGCTTTAAATTATGATGAAAGCCACGTGTAAGACAAAAGAAACTGAATGAAGCAATCCTCTAGGGGAAAGACACTACTATAAACATAGTTATACAAGTATATAGATGCTAAAATGAATTTCACAGAATCACAGAACGGTTGAGGTTGGAAGGGACCTCTGGAGATCATCCAGGCCAACCCCCCTGCTCAAACAGGGTCCTCTAGACCATATTTGTCAGGTATTAATTTTTAAAGAATTTAAAACGTCAATTAAGTTTCAATTTCTCTAATTTTAGTGATGCCCATGTAAGATTTTCTAGAAATAGTGTATTGTTATTAATACTATCATGAAAAATTAAGTTATCAAATAGAGAAATCCCACTAGCCTCTTACCAGTCATGTGTTTGGTACAGCAGCTACAAAAGACTGACGAAAAGGAAATATTTAGGGGGGTAAAAAAAAAATCCATACTAGTCTCCCTTATTTTTTGTATCTAAAAATATGCTTTTAATCAGCTATACTAGTTCTTCAAGAACAATAATGTGATAATGTTGAAACGTTAAAAAAAAAAATTTATTATCAAGAGCATAAAAAAAAATCAAGAATAAGCAACAGATATTTAGAATTTAACAATAATTTTCTGCTATTCAATAACTTCCCATTGTATGTATCAAAAGCTAGAAAGAACATGTTTCTCATATATCAGTACGATTTGTAGCAGTGTTAACTATGGGAAAAGTAGCTGAGTATTAGTCACGAGCAACAGAGAGAGCACTAGAACGTTTTAGTAAATACAGTATTAGTAAATCCAAAAGCAGACAGACAAACATGAGAGTACTACTGTGTTATAAAAGTCAAGTATTTAGAAAAAATATATACTCTCTTAATAGTTGGGTTCTTGCATCACACAGAAACAAAATACATTTGATTTAATCTTACCAGTGGCATAGGTGACATTGTACTGCACAGTAATAAAGATGATGACGTACTTCGCTGTGACCTGAAATTTAAAAAGAGACAAGAAAAAGGTATCAGATATTTCAAACAAGCTAGACTATAAACACCCAAAAGTAGAAGATTATGGCATCAACAAACGTTCTCCCATACATGATTTAAATCAAAGGGGTCCCGAAAGTGCTATTCATCTCCCACAACCGCAGAGGCTCGTCATGCTGCAAATCCTTTAACGTTTGTTGCGTAGAGTCAGAACTTGAATTACATCCCTTTAGCTAAGGCTCCAATTACTCACCGTTGTACTAAATAACGTTTTTAAGTGTTTAGAAGTGCAAACGTCTTTCAGTTATTTCAAAAGCTAAAAGATCCTTTAAATTAATGCAGACAGAAAGTTTCAGCTAACCTTGCAAGATACTCAAGAGTGACATATTGGCTAAGAGCGAGCATAAATAAGTTGGGTATTCAAAGAATAACAGAACTAAAAAATCCATCCATGAATTTCCTTGTATGATAAATCAAGCCAGAGAAAGCAAACATTTTCTAAGAACTACGGTACAATCTAAGTAGGCAATGGCATACTTTCATGCTACTTTTTCTCCAGTGGCAAAGCTAGTTAAAAAGTTTTCAGTCATCTGTATCTCCCGACAACTTCTTCCCGCTCCCATGCTGCAGTGTATTTAGCCTTTAGCTATGGCAATGGAACTGTTTATCATCTGGTTTACAGCACGGCTTATAGAACCTATGACTGAGTGATAAGAGGCAAACATAATTTTTAAGTTTAACTGAAAACATTTCACTGATCTGGTTTGCATGACTTCAGAAACAGTTGCGCTCATCTAACCGAGAGACTGATAAGCACATGGAAAGAAGTGAGTAGAGGGGAAAAACTAACCGGTTTCATTGCTGCAGAAAACGCAATATGCAACTACATCCTACACTGCCAATAGCAAATACATTTATTATGATGGCAAGCACTCCGTTATCTAGGACATAAATCAGAGATGGACAACAGGCATTAACTGAAAGTTAACATAAGAAAGGAGAATAAATTCTTGTATCTTTTACATTTTCTCTTAAACTGGATTTCATAGAGATGACTTACAAGGAAACGTAAACTAAAAAAGGAAAGCTATTTTTCCTCATGTTACACAACCTAACTGCTAAAAATATAAAGAAGAACATACTGGAACATATAAAACCAGCACAAATTTACCCAGCTACAAAGTAAGCAAGTGGCACAACAAGGTAGAAGAACATCCTCTGTAACAAAAAAGGGAGGGGGAGGCAAATCATTTACGTACACGGGTTTGGGAGTGCACCTGTGAAATTAAGCAGCAGAGGAGTCATAATATTGAAGAGCACTTTTGAAAGAAATTCTCAGTAAGGAAAAAAAAAAGTAGTGATTTTTCTGGCATACAAAATTGACTGTAAGACTGCACTGCAGTTCCATGAACAAGCTAAGCTTGCATAAGCCAGCACTACCATCAGGAAGAGCAATCTGGCCTTTCTCTTTACCACCAGTTGATTGTCTCTGCACCGCACGTGTCATCACAAGTAGCTGCACGGTAAATTGGACAGCAGAATTATATAAGTTAAAACTGACTCGGCAAAACAAGAGGGAGGAAAAACTATTAATTTTAACACAGATGAGTTTCCTAACCTGCTGCACTGGTCAGCTACACAAAGTCTTGCGTCTGCTTGAGGGGAAGAACAAGCAGCCAAAGCAGCAAAAACAACTTAAAACACTCATTCAGCGAAAGTGCAAAGAATTCACTGACAACTGTTTGCTTCTAGCAGACGGAGAAAATATAGTTACGTAGGTATTGATGCCATCAGCATCTCGCTAAAACAACGATGCTTGCTTTCAGTCAGTTACGACTCAGGACCCACAGCAACAGGCTCCTTTGTGGCACAGCATTCAGACAGCACCATGGTACGTCCTGCAGACCCCTTTATTAGGGGACATGCCTCTTCCCTGTCACTGCCCGTGTCAAAAGAGAGCTTCCTGACAGCCTTAGCAATACCGAAGTGGTCAACAATTCTGCCCTCACTGTGCTGTTTTTGGAGCGAGAGAATGACTGCAGGCTCCGAGAGAAGCCTCGTTACAAAATGCAGAACAGCTCAAATCGCAAAGACAACAGAAGGAAAAATCTGTAAGTTAAACAAAAGTATTGGTCACAACTCCATAACCTTGAGGTCTGTACTTTAACAAAGTATACAGAATACCCTCTACATCATTACTTAATTAACAAAATTCCTTAAGTACAGGAAGAATTCTTAAAAACTTGCAAGCAAGTTAGTCTAGAAGAATGACACAGTTTGCTTTTACAATACAGGCTCACTGCACTGCACTAACTGTTAGATTTATAGACAGCCACAAAGATACCTGAAGTTATGGTCCAGCTAAAAGGCAGTGAAAGGCAATTTTTCAATTTATGGTTTGTAACCACAGGGCTGCCCTTCAAAGTCTGGAGAAAAATATTCTTTCTGGAAGAAAAGAAAAAAAAAAAGTGTTGCTCTCTGAGTTCACTGCAGCCTCCTTTCATTCTGAAAGGGGACTGAAATCATACTCAATTATCTCCTGAAGATATATTAGGACAGTAGCTTTTGTGAGGATAAGCTACTTTTCACGCACTTTGGGAGAAGAAGGTGGCAGGTAACCTTGCTAAAGCCCATCACATTAGCTATTACTTTTTCTGGTTGTCTGTTAAGCCGATAACATACCACAAATGTTCCACTCTGCTGGAAGTACGGGAGCTCCATTAAGCGGTATCTGTGGCCACCCTACCACAGAACGCAAGCAACAACGGAAATTGTTTTAGAAGGACGTCACACGAAATTTTTCTGAGATTGCACTAGTGGCTTAAAAAGAACCGTGCACAATGAAAGTGCAGTTTCTTTCAAAGACAAAGTCCACTCTCTCATCAAGAAAAGCGCTGGGACTAGACACACAAAGGCTGCTGTATAAAGATTCTCAGGGAAGGAAGAAGAAAGAAAAGAGCAGTTATGTACTAAATTTAACAGCCCCTTTTCAGTATGTTATAATCAGAGTGGATCTCATTACAAACTTCTAAAGACTTCATAATAATTAGCAAAGTTAAGGTATAAAAAAGCACAATTAAGGTGGAAAAACAACCATGCATAAGAATTTCCTTTAAAGAAATTCTTATAATTTAATTTATTACATACTAACGCTAATTTCTAACTCTAACATACCTATTGTTTTTTGGATGGCCTCATGGATATAGGCAATTGAATGCCACCTAGAAAAGAAAACCTGTATTTACTCTGATGTCACTACACGGCCCTGAGTAAATCATTAAAGAGGTAGTCAGCTGTAAAAAGTTTCATTTGTACATTCTTTAGTTCGTAAGTGTACAATCTAAGGTACCACAAGTTGGATCTGGAAACCTGCCACTGACAGCTGCAGCTGAAATCACAGCAAGCACAAAATGCTCTGAAAAACATTGATTTAAAAAAAAAAAATAGTAGTCATTCAGTGCCCCAAAACTCAAAACCTAAAAATAATTTCACTTTAATATAGAGAGGAAATCAAGACCAGAAGGCAATGGGGATAACAGCTGTGTAGGCATGTTCAGTAACACTTACGAAGCACTCAACATAGTGTCTTGATAAACGTCACAAAAAATACTCAAAAACATCAGTAGTTTTGTTTGGTTGTCAGAGTTTGTATTACACATAATAAATATGGTACAAAGCCTACATGGTGAACAATGAAATATAGGTTTCATTCAGTAACTACTGTGTGCTTTTCTGCGGTGAATGAGACAGAGGTCTAGCACCAAAAAAAATTTGTCAATAGAATGAAAGGCTGTACAGAATTTATTTTTTTAATATTATACTTATGGCAACAAAACCGTTTATCACCTGTTACATAGAACCATCGTTCCTCTGCATAAGAAGTGAATGCTGTCCCAATCTACAGATAATTTTTGCATCAAAAACGGACATGCAGAACGTTTAAGTTATACTATAAAAAGCACACAAGTCTAGTCAAACAAACACAATAAAAAGAAAATAATCAAAAGCTACACTGGAATCTAGTCTGCAAAATTTTAAACTTTCAGATTTATTCTGAGTAGAAATGAGATATTCTGCTAATTATGCTTGGGTTTAACTAATATTGGCTTACTCCTCTTCCTATAAAAGAGGTAAGCTTCACCACCAGAGCAAAAATACGCTGGGGGAGCTGCACAGTACCTCCAAATACCAGTAGACTTACCGGCTACTTACAGAAGCACAACTCTTGTGTTCATACAAAGTCTGAGCTAAGACAAATGGAATTTAGAGACTGAATTCCAGAAATCACACTTTTTTTTTTTTAGAACAGCAAAGACACACAAGGCAACCTCATTAAAAAGTAACATATACAAGATACATAAGAAGTTCTACATATGCGAATGAATCCTAAAATGAATGTTTTATCCCAGGTGCAAGCATTTACTCTCCTCCTTAAAAGCTAACTAAAAAGCCTTTTTCACCTCAGCTCCCAAGGGCCTAGTTATTTTTTTTTAAATCAGTTCTGCATTTCACATATTAACTTTCATATCATAGACATAATTTATTACACATCAACACTGGATTTGTCCAACATTTAGAAGGAAATTGTCTGACTGTTGCTGACTCCTTTCTCCACTCTATTCCTGCACAGTATCCTTAACAGTTTCAGAGTGGGTCAAGATAAAAATAAAAAAGACAGCTGCAGGGAAGTATCTTCTCTGAGAATCTAAAAGCATTTGCATTTTTAAAATAACCTGATTTTACATCTCAGCCAACTGATGTTAAAATGTTTCAGGAAAGTATTTAAGTTATCTATTAATTTACAAAGCCCTACCACACACTCGACACCAGCCTAATAGACTCACACGGCAACACACAACAGTTTTGTCCCAAAGGTAGGGAAAAGATGTCTAAAAGAGAACAGCCACAACCCAAGAAACTAATAAGCTGCTTGCATATAGAAATAAACTG